CCCCAAAACCCCAAAACCCCAAAACCCCAAAACCCCAAATGACTTTAAAGAAATTGAAATTTAGGTTTAGGGCGTTTTTGTATTAGAGAAGAAAATTATGGATTTGAGTGGAGATTTTGGAAGTTTGGCAAGTGCTGGTTGGAGGGAGGGGAGTGAGGGTTGGTGGGAAGATAGAGAGGGGTTGATAAGGGACTTGGAAGGAGATGAAAGGAGAATTATTGTTTTAGGGGGATTTAATAATTGAGAGGTGCTTATGATGTTGTATCTAATAATTGCTAATTATTCGTTGATTACTGTTATTGCCTTCCTAAACTTTTGTCATTTTAAAATTAGGAAGGTATTAGAAAGCTAAATTTTATGATGCAGGTGAGTCGAAGAGTTATAAACTTTTTTGATTTAAAAAGAAACTGCTTTTGTTCAACTCTTCGCCTCAACTGCACCATAAAGTTCAAATACCTTCCTATTTTTGTAATGTAAAAAAAATTCATGAAGTAATTTAGCTAAATCAACAAGTAACCACCCATTATTGCTATATAATGAGCATGAATCAATTATTAAAATTTTCTACAAATTAGGTTGTGTGCTTTTTAAAAAGTAAAGGCGTGCTCGTTAGTTGACATTATATTGCTTTGAGAGGATCATTTGATATAAAGAAGGGATTAGACAGCTTTCCAAAGAGCACCGATTGAATAATTCTCTCAAAATTTTCAAAGGTTCGTTTTAATTAATGTCATGAATTAAAATATTTAAAGAAATTTGTGGTATTTATTGTGAATTAATATTAATTCGATTATCTAAATTAAGAACTAATTACTCTCAAATAAATTTAAGATAAATAAAAATTTTTATCAACTACAAAGATAAATCAAATGAGAAATATCTTTTCAATAAAATCCAATTGGACATGTGAGTCTCCTTGACTAATAGCCTGTTATCTGAATTTCCAAACACTAATGTTACTCTCTAAGAAGAATTTTGTACCTAAATATTCTATCCATAACCCCCTCTCATAAGGTTACGCTATTAAATTATCTAAAGCAAAAAGAAAATCTACAAATTTCATATTTGAGATTTTATTCAAAATAATTTTTATCTCTTCTTTCTCTTTTCTGGGAACCGTAAATCTTTATTTTATATTGGTCTGTTGACTATTAAAAGTTAGTTTAGTCAAATTCAAAATTACATCGTCCTCACTAGATTTTATTATCTCTACAGGTAATTTTTGCTTATCTATATTAACTTGAGGCTGATTTGACATACCTAAATATCAAGATGAATTTCAGTTATCTCTTTAATTTTTGATTATCCAATATTTTTACCTTTATCATTAATATAAGAATAATTCTTTGGTTCTTCCTTTTTCTCTTCTTTTCCGTATTTTTCTCTGCATTTTTCACGGCAAACATGTGCATACTTTTCTAAATCCCTGATCTCTATAATTTCATTCATACAAATTACTATAGAGCTCCTTTGTTTTATTTATCTAATTTTTTGTACACAGAATTAGCAACGTTTTTGTGTCCAAATCAACCCTGACTAAATCTAAATAAATTATTAATAAATTGACTGTGTTAATCTTCCCTTTACCCAGGATAGCTTACCTATAAAACTACGGTTACTATTTTTGCGTAAGTTTTTCAATATCATTCTTCTATTTATAAGATTATGGCTATACTATCTGTGGAGTCAACTGCTTCGGCATCATCCTCGGCATCGGCTTCCTTCGTACGACCCTCACTGTTATATCTTCTTGAGATCGAGGAATTTTAGTTTGGAGTTGGTAGTTGTAGGGTTTGGATCTTGACCTTGGCTCGATTTCGATGGGAGGGTGCAAGTAGTGGGTTTGGATGAGTTTTTTGGAGGATTTAGATATTTTTGGAGGGTCGGGACCTGGGCATTTCCATAAGTCTCGTTTAGATATTGAGGAGATTCAGCGTTCTCAATGGGCAGATTTTTCTCTTAAGAACTGTTTTTGGAAGGTTTTGTTAAGTTTTTCCATTGTTTTTATTTTTCGATTTAATTTAGAGAACTATATGATCATAAAAAATTACTCCTCTTGAGTTCGCTTTCTTCATATCTTTTATCTGTTGTGTCAGAGCATGTATGTTGCCTAAAAGATATTTTTTAAGTCTGCAGTAAACAAACTACCTTTCAACTTTTTCTTTCTGGATATGGGTCTTCTCATGCTCTTACTTTCCTCTCTAAATTTATATAGAACTAAAAGGCTTAATATCCAAAAATAATCCCTTTAAATATACTCTACTATTTTTTTATTTCGAGTTTTATTTCTCTCTAAAATTGCCGTAAACATTATTTCGCTTTAATTCCTGAATTTGCTCTTCTTTGTCAATAATAGGAAGCATTATAAGTTAAGAAAGTATTTGACGGATAGAGCTCATGATACAGCCACTGTGAGCAGTTGATAGAATTCAGCTCAGTTCACTACCAAAAATGTCAACTCTTTATAACAACAAGATCACTCCTAACGCCAAAATATGTTATTAGAATTTTCAATATTAGGTTTGGGTCTCATTAAGCAACACCACAGAGCTAATCTTTAAATTCTAAACCCACATTCAACACTCAAAATCCTAGACACATATGAGCGCCAGAAATTAACCCTTCAGCTCCTAATAATTGTGAAAACTATTAATCTTCAACAAATTTCATAGAACTACTCACCACAGCTGTACCATAGACTCCATCTCCTAAATAATTTCTAATTTTTATGAGCCACAGATTACGAAGAAGGCATTTAGTATAATTAACAAATATCGCTATTTCCTCTATTATTAAACAGCCCAGTGATTAACTACCTTGTATTCTGATGGTTATTTGAGATTACTTACATGCGAGAATGAGGACTATTCCTCCTTCTTCGTACTTCCGTCAGCCTTGTTGGTACTAAAGTGTAATATGTGCCTATGTAGAAGGTTATGTAAGTTAGTCATGGTTATGGAAAATGGGGAGGTGATGTTTTGTTCAGGTTTTGTTTTTAGTGGTAAAATTTAGAGGCAAATTGATCAGAAATACTCAATTTTGATCTTGCTTCTAATTTTAATACACGATTTCGTAGGCTTATTTATAGGCTGAAACTCTAGTAAAGAATTTGGAAATTTAGGCTGCTCACATAAGCAAAATTAAAAAAAGAGACTGCTGCTTTGATAGCATTGTATTAGCTTCTTCATAAAATAATTTGATCATTTCTCTCTGGTACTTAACCAGATCGCAGAAAAATTGGCTTAAATAAAACTGTATATATTAAACTGATTAGAAGAATGAATTTAATGTCTTTATCAGTTCAGAAGAAGCTTCTATGTTTCGGAAATGTATGCCCTAACACCATAACCCCCAACTCCTGTTATTCCCCTCCCAAAAGCCCCTATTCCCATCCCCCTCTTCTCCCTCTTCTCCCCCTCCATCGCTTAAACACCTAATCTATCCAACCCTATTCCACATAAATTCCTTAAAATTCTTCTTTATTCCTAACCCAGGCTTCAAAATCCTAAAAAATAGCTTGAAACTCACTGAGATTGAAGCTTAGATTGGTTTTAGGGAGTTAATTGGAACGGGAAGCTTACCGTAAGATGAATCCATTTTTATTTTTTCAAGTTAAAATAAAGTTAGCGGGGTTTTGGGGTTTTGGGGTTTTGGGGTTTTGGGG